TCTATAATTTTACCCACCTTAACATAAGCGTGTCCTGTTTGGGGAAACGCAGCACCCTCATCAATAGAAAAACTACAGACAGTACAAAACAGATGTCTCAGAAAAATCATACAAGCCCCAGTTCTCAGGTTCATGGGGAGTTACGTAAGGACTTAAACAAAAATTACATATCCTCAATTTTTAGGAATTATTTATACTACATTCAACACTTCTAATTTAACAAACAAATTTAATCTATGACGTCTTGCGAAAGTACATGTTAAAGAGAAAGTAATAATAAGTGCATAACCAAATAATAATTTTACTATTAAAATACGTAAATATTAAATAAACACTAAGTCAAACCTATTTTAAATTAAACTTTATCTAACCAATGGAGCAGCAATGTAGAGCTCAAATAGCCAAGTATGTCCATACCTAATAGTGAAAATACTAACACCTTGTTCGGCTGTGTGGCCTTTCGAGGGCTTGAATAGAAGTCAATAAACAAAAAAATATGAACAGTGGAAAATCCACTTTCACTTCTGGTGATGAAAATCGTGTGAAGGGAATACTGTATATACGTGAATATTAATTTAAAGACTTCGGCAAGAGTTGATAATTTTCCTGAAACTATTGTTTGCAAAAAAAAGGTAATTCATAAGAGCGTCTGTGCTTGCAATATGTTATAACTATCAGGTCGCAAAACAACAAAAACATTAGGTTGATTATAAACTTCGGTTTACCAATTTTAACTAAGTCTGTTATTTGGATTATAGGTCGTATGCCGTTCAATACTTTTTATAAAACCATATTCTTACAAAATAAATCATACAAACATGGAATATTTCTTGGAAATATGCTATCTTATCTACAACTCATTTGCTTCGACTATTCTTAACGGACGTCAGTTGGAATCCTCAACAGACGTCGGCCATTAAGGGAGGTGTCTCATTTCTCTGTTCGATTGCGTTAAATTGATATAACAGTACGTATTATGAAAATTTATTTTTCGTGTTTTTGATGGTTGAATATTTGCTTGTATATTCCGATATAAATTTCACTACACTTGATGATTTAAGAGAGGGGGTACTGTCATCCAATCCGGAGCATGAATTTTTAAAATTGTATATTTTAGCCAGAGTACAAGCGCGGGGTCTTGTCGTCGGGACGCACTGTCGGCGCGGGGGCCGCTCGTGGCGGGGGCGGGCGCTGCCTTTGATGGCGCCGCCGATACGGTTATCTGGCGCGGATCGGTTACAAGGCGCCGCCGGCGGCGCCTCGGGCGCGGGCGTAAAAAGTGGACTGCAGCCCCGGGAGCTCCGCGAAGCCACGGGGAGAGGGTCACCTGAAAAGGATGAGAGGGGACAATGCCGGGAATGAAAGAATTCGCTGGAGAGAACTGAAACGGCGAGATTGAAAGTGTCTACGGCGCGTAATGCTTCCAAAGGTTGGCGGAACGGAAAGGTTTCTTGAGAGAGACGCCATCAGATTACAAAATGAATGTGAAGAGACGGATCGAAGAGAAAGTGTAAACAAACTACAAAAATGACGGGAGCTGTGGTATGCGGCATAAAACTCGGGCGATAATAGGCGTTTGTGAATCATAGGGGAATCAATGTATGCCTGGTCAATAAAACTATCGGGAAATCGGAACGAAGTCGAGAGCCCGATTCTCCGAATTGTGGACCATAACGTACATTCCGTTCTTTAGGAAACCATTAAAATAATCGTACTTTCATCTGGCAAGTACGGAGTTTACATATTTTTGCTGGAGCGAAACAAGCAATAGTAGAAAAGCCGGTGAAAAGAATTTCTAAACTAGTTACATAGGTATACTCAATATGAGGGTTTTAGGCTAACATAGGAGTAAGCGATTAAAATACGACTGGATGTCTGTATCAGAGGCGCGTAAAGCAGAAGGCGCGTACGAGTGGCGGGAGGTTCGAGGGCGATACACCCCAGTCACGCCGCGACCGAGTGGGGGTGGGGGCGGGGGCGGTGGCACGGATAGAGCACCTGTGAGCAGGTAGCTCGTTGCCAGCGGCGCTCGCCAAGCGTGTGAGCCGAAAATGAGGGTCCTCGCGGGAGCCGCGACTGAGGCGGTGTCAGTGACGGGAGCGGCGGGGGCGGGAACGAGTTTGTGAACCAGGCGGGAAATAAAGCGCGGGCGAAGTCGGCAGGGACTGACGAAGGGAAGAGACGCGGGGCGACT